TAAATGAATGGATATCCATTCAGAAAACCATGTTAACATAGACTGGATATTTTTTCATAAACTAGAATCAATGCACATTAATACATAATTTTATCCTAAAGGATCATTAGTAAATTATGCATACCATTCATTCTGAATATCAAGAAGAACAAAACAGGAAAGCCCTAATCAATTCCGAGCATGCTGCCCTCCATCTGTATAGGACTACTATCCCAATAATCCTCATTAGCATGACTCCATTGGTTGAATGTAAGGAATAGCAGCTCAGCACGTCTGGATGGTCTCTATTGGGGAAAGCTGAATTCAACTATGTTCTGTTAAGTAATTATGACATTAATTTGGCAGTTCTGTTACCAGACGTGTAGCAGTATAGTGCTGCTATCTTTCTACAAATCTGAAGTCATTTATTAAAAGTATACTTTTGCCATCCCTTGATTCCATTTTTGTCAGTGAAAGTCCCCATGGCAAATCTAAAAATAAATATAATGAATGATACTTGGAATTTCATTTTAAACACCTGTCTGCAGCCTGTACACTCACAATTTAAATTATTTGATCATTTGTAAAAACTTCATATAAATAAATAACTCTGACACTTGCCTTAATTGAAATCCATGTTTACTGTTATTTAATTGTTTTCATTAGGAAGTAAACCAAAAGAAGCAAATAAGTAACACTGGCCTTTAAAACTGTACATTTATTTTTTGAAAACTAACTCAGTAATGTGCTCCTTCAAGCTTTTCAGCAGTGGTTACTTGATAATAGTTACATACATTAAGTTATAAATTCTTAAGTTTCAAGCATAGATTTGTAGGTATGTATAGGTAATCAGTATAAAACTCTGAGACACCAATGCTAAACCTCAGTCTGTAATTTAAACTATATTGCCTACCCATCCTGTGAGATCATGGTAATTCAGCAAAGGGGATCCAGTCATCCTAGGAACCTTGGATGTCGTAATGTATGGATAGTATATGTGCAGATCTAGCAGTATGGCCTTTTATAATTGACGAATGGAAATTTTGTCAATGCACATATTTTCTAAGTGCTATTCCAATTTTGGGGGGAAGGGTATGACATCCAGTGTGCTGATAACCATTGGGACCACCACACAGCTGATTTATGCCATTATCTTTCAATTTTGATTTTCAGAGCTTGATATTTTGTGATCTCCAATTCTTTGTCTTCTCTTCTGCTAACTCCTGGGATTGCCACATCAATTATCTACCCTTTCTTCTTTTCAACCACAATTAAATCTGATGTGTTATGACTAAGGCCTTATCAGTTAGCATTTAGAAATCCCACAATATTTTAACTGCTCATTTTCAGTTACTTTTTCAACTCTATGTTTTTAGCAATTTTTGATTACTGGCACTTGATAATTTTTACATCTATTCCAGTGAATAATTCTGGCAGTTGTGTTATGCCATTGCTAATTATTACATGTTGCCTGACTCCAATTGTTCTGGGTGGTTGCTAGGAATTTGCATTATTCAAGTTCCATGGAAATTCTACAGAAAATTTTTTTTTAAAAAACCCTGCAAATTTAAATTTTTTTAGTATGTAAAATGCAACCAAATTCCCTGTTCTCCTTCTATTCTAAATGACAGGTTTAAGCATTATGAATGTGAATTTATTAAAGAGGTTATTGAATGTGAGATGGTTCTGCCCAATGTGTTTCTATAATTCCTTTAAAACAAAGATTGCAATTCTTGGGAAAGAGATTTCTCGCAGAGAGCACAAAATAATACCACATCTTTTCCTGTTACATTTAAATTGAGTATAAAGTATTGTCACAACAGAGAGGTTAAAATAATCTAGCCTGTTTAACTTTGGGATAGGATTTCATTAAGAATCCCAAGCCAAGGACTGCATTGTGGTCTTTAGGAATTTTTAGGAATATCGGAGAAGAAAGCAACTGGCATAGCTGTTCTGTTTTTGCTGAGGAAGCAACAACCACATCTCTCTAGGAATAAAGCTCAGCTTGAGGGATGATTTACTTTTTACTCTTTGGTGGAATGCACAAAATTGTCTGCACAGTTTGTCTTTCCCTCCACAAACCTGATTGGTCTGAGACCTATTATTTCCTGGATAGTCCCCCCCCGTCGTCCCCCCCGGCTAGCAGAGAAGCCAGCTTCTTTGAATGCCTAACAATGATCTGTGTTTTCACAAATAATTGTTTCAATCTGGTGTCCTGCGAAGAATTGTTCATTGTGAGCCGTATGTCGAAAACCAGAATGCTGTTATCAGTTTTTCCTCTTGCTATAAAATTTGATCCAGTTCTCCATGTCTTTCATGACTGCTCAGGTGTTGCCATCTGTATTTCCAAGGGTCAGGAACAATGAAGCGAAGCTGATGTGATGACATTCTGGATATGCCAAGGAGTCACTGAAGTGCATTCATGAATACTATATAAGACACATATATTTAAAATGATCTCCGCTAATACAAATGTTAAAGATCATCATTTCTTTAATGCTGAATTCATTTCTTAGATGGCATATGTTCAGATGGGCTTTGTCTTTTTATTTGGCCTATAGAGCATATTTAGATGGAATTTATAATAATAATATGCCAATTATAATTCCCTCAAATAAACATTGCTTAAAAGTTGTCCAAATATATGACTTGTGTGATTTTAAAGTATATTTCGTGTGGTGTATGCATAATGTTACAAATAAAATATAATCATAGACCAATGATGGTGAACCTTTTAAGCATTGAGTGCCGAAAAGGGAGCGCATGTGTGCTCGTGGGGGCCGCAACCCGAAAGAGAGCTGCCCAGGTGGCATGTGTGTGCCGGAAAATTAACTTTCCATTTCTGATGCGCGCATGTAGACTGTCCAGCTAGTCTTCCAGTTACTGATGCGCATGCACGTGCAACGATTAGCTGGCCGGTGTGCATGTTCATGTCGGAAAATGGAAGACCAGCTTTTCCAGTTTCCAACACTGCTGCACACATGAGGGCCAGCTGACCGTTGTGCATGCATGGGCACCAGAAACCCAGAAGAGGAATGGGTGACACCACATGTCCCAGGCGACTTGGCTCCATGTGCCACTTCAGACACACGTGCCATAGATTCGCCATCATGGTCATAGATAACTTGGTGCTATGACAGATGATTTGGTGTTTGGCCAGTCATCTTTTTTGAACCTTGGCAACTTCCAGTAATATGTAGAAGATGCCATGGTCTTTCACTGTCCTCTTAATAGACCACATACAGCTGTATTTGGTCTGATCAAGTAGTAAAAATAAATGGAAAATTTATTGGACAAATAAAATGGACTAACTTGATTAGGAGAAAACTACTTTTTATGTATGCTACAAAAAAGTAAAATATTATATTTGGCAGTAGAGGTAGTTTTGGACTTACAACAGTTGATTTAGTGATTGTTCAAAGTTAGAAAGGTACTGAAATAAGTGACTTATGACTGTTTTTCACACTTATGACCATTGCAGCATCCCCATGATCAAAATTCATGATCAAAATTCAGCTTGGCAACTGACTCATATTTATGACGGTTGCAGTGTCCTGGGATCATGTAATCACCTTTTACGACCTGATAAGCAAAGTCAATGAGGAAGCCAGATTCACTTAACAACCTTGTTACTAACCTAACACTGCCATGATTCACTTAACAACAATAGCAAGAAAAGTCATAAAATGGGGCAAAATTCATTTCACAACTGTCTCTCTTGGCAACAGAAATTTTGGGCTCAATTGTGATTGTAAGTCGATTAAAGTAATATCCCGAAGATACTATTCCTGATAAGTAATTAACAATGTATGTTGTTTCCCTTTAATATTTCACAATAAATTAAACCCTTCTTGGAAAGCAAATATTATATAAATACCTCCTGTACATACTTCTTTGAAAAATATTTTCTACTGAACTCAGCTTTAATTTTGAATATATTAGTTCATGAATTGGGTTTGATTTGGAAAGGTTTGGATTAAAATCTCATATTAGTTATAAAGAACTGTAATATACTTTAGGCAACTAGCTGCCTAATTATATAATTATCATAAATTGATAATGACTAAATTCAGTAGCTATGTTTATGTCACTTTGAGCTTCATGATAGAATGAAATAGAAATAATCAATCTTTTAGTTAATATCAGTACAAATACACATTTTAGGGCTGAACCCCTTCTTTGTTTTAAAATTCTAATTTCCAGGTGCTTTAAAAGTGACAAAAAGAAAAGAATCCTTATAAGAATTAAAAGGAGCTTGTGGAGTGGGAAGGATTATCCCCAAAACTCCTGCAAAGAAGTCTTCACATGAAGTTATTGTAACAGTGGTTGCAGGATTTGACATTTATGTTTGATGTGTTTTTCTTCATTGGGTTTAATATGTTGATATAGCAGCATGCTTTTACTAGGTAAAACAAAGATTGGTTCATTGGCAGCTGCTAAGAAATGGGACTTCCATTCATGTTAAGACATTTTAAATTCTTCAACAATCTTCAAGTGTTTAACGAGTTAGAGACAAACCTTTAGCTTAGTGCCACAACATCTGTTTCATTTGCAAGAAAGCATTGGCATCTCCAGATAGGTCTTGGACATGCTCTTGCTGAACCCAGCAGAGCTATTGTCTATAGTTTGTATATCATGTTATGCCTGGTTTGGTTAACATAGTGAGCCACAATTCTCTAGATATAAAGAGCATGTTAACCCCCCTCCAAAAAAACCCCCCACCAAATTCATAAACCACAGTGGCTGGACTCATACAACACTCAGACTAAATGTTATTAACATTGAGTTGCATGGACCAGTGAGAATTTAAGGTAGCTTTATAGCAGTTGGCTACTGCTGAAATACAGCATAATATGTAGTGAAAAAGCACCATAGAGTTTATTACCTGAGGTAGCTGAGAATGTTCTATAGTATAAACAGACTTTCTTGGTAATTTCTTCCTCATTCTGGGTTAAAAAGAGCTCCTCAGATCATAAACTTTGTGTTCGGTAGGACTCAACTAAGTGTGTTATCTTTTACAGCTCCCACCGTTCCTATTTGCCCTGCTGCAGTGCCCTGGCCAAGTCCAGCTATAATCATTGCCGCATGCTGTGCCATACCGGTATTCCTCTTTCTAGTTTTCATCATTTGCTACAAAGCCATAAAAAGGTAAGACTGTGTGTTAGCATATTGAAGCTTGATGCTACAAGATGAGCTGTTTCCTGAATATATCAGCATGGAGATGCTGCAGTGTTGCAGATTGTGCAGTTCTCTAAAAGGGATACCCTGGTTACAATTTCTGAATTTACTCATTGCACACGCACACAGACGTTTTCCCTTCTTTCCTTTCCCTTCCCTTTCTTTTCTAGCTCATAAATCCTAGATGCTGTCTTGTTTTCAATAATTGAAAGATCAGAATAACCCAAAAGAAGAACAGGGCTATTGATTTCAGGAGGAGTTGAATATACAGGAGGATAGAATGAGAACACCTAGTCGCGAGGGAAGAAGCTGCAAGTTATTTGGGAGGCATGTACAGCGCCACAAGTGCCTCTAAGTCAGTGATGAAGAAACTTTTTGGCACTTGAGTGGCACCAAGTGCTGAAAAGGGAGCACTTTGCGTGCCTGTGTACACTTTGCACATGCATGCACGCTTCACGCATGTGTGTGAAGCATGCATGCACTCGTCTGGGCTGTAAATAGGAAAAGGAACTGCCCAGGGGGTATGTGCATACTGGAAAATGTACTTCCGGTTTCCGGCACGTGCATGCATGCCAGCGAGCAAGTCTTCCAGTTCCTGCCGTGCATGCACACATGCCGATCAGTTGACCAGTTTCTGTTCATGCCAGAAAATGGAAGACCAGCTCTTCCGGTTTCTGGCACTGCTGCAGACACAAAGGCCAGCTGATTGTCGTGTATGCATGTGTGCCAGAAATCCAGAAGAGGAACGGGCGACAGCACGCATGCCAGGTGACATGGCTTTGCGTGCCACTTTGGGCAAATTTGCCATAAGTTCACCATACGGCTCTAAGTGGTTAATACAGGTGGAAGCAGGGAGGAGAGCCACAGCATTGGCTGCTCCAATGCAGTCTGGACTTTGTTACAGAATACTGGAAGATTGTTATGTTACCAGAGCCTCAGCATTACTGGAGTTGTATAAGAATCAGGTATAGAGGAAAAGCCCATCACCGAATTACAAAGTTCTACCTGTGCCCTCTAGCTGGAAAATCATACATTAGAACTTTGTGCGCATTTATTTTTTTCCCTGCTTGCACACAAAATTAGCAAGTCTGGGAGTTTCCAAAGAAAGCAAAATGTAGATATGTCTATCATTTAAAGCCTGCTGAGAGAAGTTAGGTTGTGATTGTTTTTTGTTTTATGTTTGCCCTGAGTGAAAAGAGCATTTCACTGTTCCACTAAATTCTTCCAATAAATGCTCCGTTAAGCAGTTTCCTCAGGCTATTGGCAGTTGCTTCACTAGGCTCTATTAACTATTTGTGATTTTCAGGGAAGTAACGTTTCCTCCAGTTTGAACTTTCAATGCAAAAGAATCAAATAAAGTATTAAATAGTAAAAATTGGAGTTGATAGAGTGGATTATAATGCTTCATCTTGTAGATGTGGAATTCAATTTATTAATATTCCTTTAAATTAAACTTTCTTCTACTTACCAAATGCAGAGAAACTTCTGATTTTAGTTATTTTTAACAAGCAAATGAATATATAGTTTGGCACTACCGTCTTACAATCTGAAATTGTACTGTCTGCTTTCCCAATTCAAGATTTTTTTCACCTCATCCTGCTGTGACAGGATATACATCAATTATAAACACATATTAAACTTCATAGTTTGTTCTATTGGAATCAAAATATCCTCTATGTTGATCCTACTTCAAAAGACACAGCCATAAAATTAAAGCTCAGATTTTCTCTGAGCATATTTTGAATTTGGGAGCCTCCAGAACTGAATTCAATTTTCTTTATAGAATTCTTGCTCACATGAAGCTTTCTATGCTTTAGCAGCTTGTTTTTAGTGGGAAAATGGGAAATGTTGCTAGTACCATTAAGCCAGGGGTCAACAAACTGTGGCTCTTTCATTCCTCTGCTGTGGCTCCCTATCGCCAGTTGGCACCACAATTTTGAGAGAAGCTTCCAGTTAGGGATGGATGGGAAGCAGGGCACACCAGGAGGAGACTCTGTGGCAAAGGGTGGGTTTTCTGGTCAGCTCCACAGTTGATAGGGCTTTCGGTTAAGACAGATAGAGGAAAAAGGACACCGCGCTAGGAGGAGACTCTGTGGTGGGGAAACTGGACTTCCAGTCAGAATTGAATGCGGGGCTTATGACCTTTTTGGCTCTTTTGAGTGTTTAAGGTTGCCAACCCTTGCATTAAGCTATTACTAACCTCTTTCAGGTCACTCAGATATCTGTACTATTCCACATTCTTACCTTTTCTTCATTTCACCCTTGTATAGATCACATCTTATTCTGCCAGAATTCCATAGTACTAAATGTTCAGTCTGTTTTCAGTATTCAGTCTACTTCAGATGCAGTCCTGTCCATTTCCTGCAGCCCTTTGTCTGAGATAAAGCCAGAGATTGGATTTAATCAAGATTCAGAAAGTTTCCTGTGCACTTTGAGTTAGAGACATAAAATTATTTGAGGAAGGGAGAGATACCACTGCAGTTCAATCATTTTATGGTCAAATTTAATGTTATAGTTTGCCTTCAGTTGTTTGGTTCTTATTCACCACAGAATATTGACTTACTTGGGTGTTTATGAAGAAATTAAAACCTTTTTTGTTCAACAAGCCTATAGGGTCTGAGGTGTTGAATTTGTCATTCCTTCAAGGGAATGTTGTATGTAATTTGACTGTTCTCTAATGACTCTGTATTTGTTGAGTTGTTTTCAATAATTTATGTTCTTAATATTGTATTCAACTCAGAATCAGTTTAAGACTAGAGTGTCATATAAGCCTAAAATAAATCTTGAGGTACTGGAGGGCAGTAGAATGCATAAACCATGCCCAGTTGTCCAGTTCAGATTTTAATTAACATTATGAGGAAGAGAATATCTGTAGCTCAGGATTGGCATGATGTATTATTGAAATTCTTACAACTCATTTGGGGTATGTAGACGTTTTATTACCGTGCTAGGTAGCATAATCAGTGCAGGAATTTTTAGAGACATGACCTTCATTGTTTGATGCAATTGAATATTGTATATTCTTATTATCTTGCCTACTTTACCTGTTCTTAGATGGAAAATTCCCATGGGTAGATATTTGATATTGCAGATGCCTTGCAGGTAATAGATTATTTGACTGATAAGGTAGAAATTCTGTCTTTCATTTGTGTATTAGTGGCTTCAGTGATATTGATAGCTGTTTTAGGGGACAATTTATTTGGAGAATGCTGTTCTTTTTCTGCCACTAAATTTTAGTTGTTTTTATGTTATTAGCTTGATAAAGAGATAGCTATAGTTTATTTAGGTGCCACTTGATTGTTTGAGAAGAAGATAGAATGTTATAAGCTAATTGCTAAAAATTGGGTCTTTGATTGTTTTGTAGGCCATGGGAGGGGGTTTAAGCCTGCATGTGTGTTAATTCTGCTTGTTGTTGCAATCTGAAAGCAGAATGAATGAGTTTTAAAAATGTCTATGGAGAATCTCAGTCATCCAGGTCATGATTGTCCCAAAAGTGCTTTTAACTGGAAAGAGGCAATCCATCATCCAGTCAGAGCTGAAGAAGCTTCTTGGATGAGAAGTAAAACGTCTTCAAAGAAAAACAAGAAAATCCAATTGTCTCTTGAAAAAACACTTTGGGGAGTTTTAAAAATTTATATGTATAATTAAGTTTGTCCCTCATTTTGTGAAGTAGGTTTTTTTTATACAACACATCATAAGATTCAGCTTAAGTATCTTAGAACCACATTAGAACCATACTTTCATCTTATTTTAAAATTTAGGGTTTGATTAATATATTCTGCTTCAGATAATTTTTAACCTAGCCAGAATCAGTTTTCTCTTATCTGAGAAATTTAGAATACCTTTTTGATTTTCCTCTTCTACTTTGCCTTTATGTTACTGAATATATTGTAAGCAAAAGGATCTAAAATTGGCTCATGTATTTATTTATCTAATCCCGTCTTTCTTATTTTTATAAATAACTCAAGATGGTGAACACACATACTCCTTCCTTCTATTTTCCCCCACAACAACAAGTGAGGTGAGTTCAGCTGAGAGAAAATGATGGTCCAAGGTCACCCACAGGCTTCCATGCCTAAGACCGAACTATAATTCACAGTCTCCTGTTTTCCAGAAAACTCATATTTTAAACAGATAATGCAATCTGCTATCTGTATGAGTGTCCTCCCTATCCTCTAAGGTAAGGATCCCCAATCTCCAGGTCATGAACCAGATGCAAAGCTGATGGTGAGCAGCGAGTGAGTGAGCAAAACTGACCCCTCCCCCTGGTCCGTGGCAAAATTGTCTTCTACGAAACTGGTCCCTGGTGCCAAAAAAGATTGGGGACTGCTGCTCTAAGACAGTGACTGATGCAGAAAATGTTTTTGTGCCAGGTGATCACATACTGTGTAAACCTTATGTTGAAAATACTGGTGACTTTTGTAGCTTTTCCTAATTTGGTCTCAGATGAAGTTAATACAATACATTCAATAGCCTTCTTCAAATTCGTTACAAATTTAATGTGTTTCTGTAACTCATCTCTTCATCTGTTTGCTATATAAAATTAAGTAAAACAAAAAACTTGGCAGTTGGTTTATCAATTCCCTGTTTACACAAGAGGCAAACCCTAACTGATAGTCAAATTGAACTTTTTAAGTCTGTGATTCTTAGTGGATTTAGCAGCTAACAAAAGTATAATCACACTTCTCCTTTAAAAAGAAAGGCAACATTTTCCTCCTTATCCTTTCTTTCGCCTTGCCCTTCACCTATCTTCTGTTACCAACCTTAGCTATTCTTGAGAAGCTGCAACATAGCTTGGTTGATACTTGGAATTCCACGGCTGTAGGTTAGAAAGCAATGGCAAACTACTTTGGTATTTCTGCCAACAGGTCCATACAGTTTTCTTTGCTTTTTATTTCTACAAGCAGAATTCCAAGTATACCACACAGCAGAAAGCTCAAGAATGGGCAGTGTTCATTATAAATGTGGTG